TTAGACACTGAATTCAGGTGTCGGTCGAGGCGCAGGCCAGAAATATCTCGGGATAGGCGAACGGGCAGTGGCGTGGCGTGCTTTGCGATTCATCGATTGATCTGCCATTTAAACCTATGAAAAAGGATCGATGAACAGAATGCTCGCAACGGACTCTTTAATAATCGATTCTTTAACACAGTTTCAAGTGGGGAAAAATCGATAATCGAGCATTCACGCCTCGCCATTGACAGAGAGAGAGAGAAAAGTTGCTCGACGTAAGGTAAACAGCATCGATCTTTTTTTCTGCATAATGGCTGATGCATCGAGAAGAAAGATTATCTTGAGCAAGCGAACGTATTGAAATACTCAAGCTCTGTAGCACTCTTGTACCCTTTAATCACACATCTCGCGTTGTGCTAGAATGTGTTTTCTTCATAGCACAAGACGGAATATTAGGAGAGGAAAAATTATAAAACTAGTGAAAAAAGTTGTAGATAGACCAAAGAGCTCATCTCATGTGGAATTTTTTCTAGAAAAATACGCAAACAAATTCGACTTAATCTTTCAATTTTTTCCCCGGAAAAGATAGAACATGCTTGGAATGAATGGCGATTTCTTTTATGTGAAATTAAACCCGCACAGCTCTTTCAAGCATGCGTGTAGAGTTAAAACGTTTTCATCCAACAACATGTTCGCGCCCATCAACGCAAATGGAGATACACAGTTTTTCGCGCTAAAAATCGGTTTTTCACTTAACAAGAATCGCCTAGATGCATGAAATAATACCCTAAACTGTTTCATGCATACAGGCTATCATTGTCAAATTTAATAGATACAAAATGCAGAATTACAAGGAATTGCTAATTTCACCTCGCATTCATATCACTCGCGGCTTTTGGGCGCTATATAGACTCTGGTACCATATTTAACTCCTTGATTTTCAACAGTACATTTTTGACATTGATTGTCGCATTAGGAATGAATTTCAGATTTTCATCATACACTTAGGGCCGGATTTACCTACTTGCCGCCCCTTCTCATTCGTTTTGAAACATGAATAAAATCTATCAAAGGAACGTGCAGCGAGGAGGGGTGCATCTAGAGTGCATAAGACACGTTTACTCGTGTTGGACACATTTTTGGCGAAGCCCTGTCAACATTCCTAGCAAAAGATCACGAAACTTTGCGCGAAAGTTTAGCTCTGTAAACCTATCTCTGTGTGGAAAAGGTTTTCCATTTATAAGAAATGAACGAAAAAATCATGAAAGAACAATCTGACCGCGCAATGCGTGAAGCATTCCTACAGTCTTGTAGGCGTTCTGCGTTTCACACCGACTGCTCCCGAAAACGCACTGTGTTTGACGCAATGCGTGAAGTATTCATGCAATCTGGTAGGCGCTAATATGTGTTGCATGCCGACCGCCGCGTCGAGGACTTCTCCTTTATCATCTCAAGTCCTCGTCTGCATTGCTCTCTGCGTCGTTTCAGGCCAAATTGCGTTTTTGGCTCCTCTCTATACTCGACTAATTAAAGGTGCTGTCTCTTATATCACCGAAAGACGACAAAATTAGAAATTTCTACACTCTCAGGAAGTGGAGATTTTGTCGCCTTTTCTCTTTTATAATTTTTCCCCCTGAATCCGAAACTTTTTTAAACCTACATTTAAAAAAATTGCAAAATTTGCCGCCCCCTAAATTTGCCGTCATGGGCCACGGCCCATGTGGCCACCCCCTAAATCCGGCTCTGCATATACTCATCGTGAATTTAAGCCACCTTCGAATCATCAGCGCCTTTTGCCTTTTCCCTCTTTAGTGACTGATTTTAGCTTCCACCTCTACGGGCCGATTACTGAAATTGATAGACAAGGCGATAGGCAACGTAGACATAGAGAGTATAAAGCTATCCTATCGGTTGAAATGGGTGGTTCCTATAGACTAAGGGAGAAAATTATGAATTCACTATAGGGTCCGTCGTGTGTTGCCGTTACTTAGTCTAGTACCTACCTTCTTTGTCCATTGAAACCAACCGCATCCATCAATAGGATCCCTGTATATTTCTTTTGTCTCCTACGTCTATAGCTTTGTCTATCAATTTCAACAATCAGCCAACAGTGTTCTGTAATTATTTAAGAGGGGCTGAGGGATGCCTGATTTCAAATCCGTTAGAAGCGCTTCTCGTGCTTTTTAAACCAGTTGATTTACAAAACTTTATATTGATTAAAAACATTTGCTTCTTGAAAAGAAGTTTGCAACAAACCCACTTCCACCAATAGCATCCCTGTATATCTCTTTTCTCTTCTTTGTCTATAGCTTTGTCTATCAATATCAATAATTGGCACATTTTGTCCGACTCCATATTAAAAGTCGAATGGAGCACGTATCCTATGACTTTGTTTCCCTTTTCGCGGTAGCCTTGCCACGGCCGTATTACTTGGGTTCGGCGAGGTGTTTGCTCCAGGTCAGTGCTTATAACGGTTACTCGGCAAGCTCCAGTACCGCGGAGGCACTGCTGTAAACGCGGATGGAGCGCGGAACGGGCCGAGCTTAGGGTACGAACCGCGGAGTAGTGTTCGCGCAAGCACAGCTAACGAATACCCGATAATTAGCCGCCTTGGCTTACGCTCCACTTACCGCACTTTTCCGGCCACCAACTGCGGCCGCTCCGAATTAGGGACAGAGCAAACGAATCCACGGGTTTGTAATAATCCATCGTGCTGAGGAAAAAAGCCGTATGGACATTCGAGAGTTGCCAAGTTTCCTCCGATTAAATGTTCATTTTTGAGGAGAGTTGGTAATGTTTTCTTTTGATAGTTTCAGATGACATCGACCTAATGGAGATGTTGCATGTGTGAGGAATTTGCGATTTGACCGTTGGTTCTTACGTAAAAGTTTGCGAGAAACACGATGGTGCCACTGGTTTTCTCTGAAGCGGGTGGTTTGAATTCACGCGTCAAGAATCATTAAATATCTTCGTAAGGAGTTAATTTCGGTAATTTTCGTTGTGCGTATCGTGTTTTACGTGAAATTTTGGTTAGGAAACATGTATCAGAATGCTGAAATTCGTACCTTGTCTAGTGGTCCATTGATTCTTTCGTAACAGTTCGCGAGAAACACGATGGTGCCACTGGTTTTCTCTGAAATCAACTCCCAAGCTCAAAAAAAGCTCTCAAGTTGAGGCCAGAATGGAGCGGATATCCTACGCTACCCTGAGAGTCTACTTCTACATCAAGACAAACTCTCCATGCAAAGATAGGGAGCAAATACATTGACAGGGCTGCCACTTTATTTGGGGACTCCAAAACTGAAAACATGGCAACCCCTGCTAATGGATTTGGTCCCTATCTTTGCATGGAGAGTTTGTCTTGATGTAGAGGTGGACTCTCAGGGTAGGGCGGGATATCCCCTCCATTTTGTCCTCATTTTGAGAGCTTTTTTTGAGCTTGGGAGTTAATTTCAGAGAAAACCAGTGGCACCATCGTGTTTCTCGCGAACTTTTACATAAGAGTCAACAGTCAAATCGCAAATTCCTCACACGTGTAACATCTCCATTTCCTCCAATTAAATGTTCATTTTTGAGAAGAGTTGGTAATATTTTCTTTTGACATTTTCAGATGGCATCGACCTAATTACGAGGAAAATTCTCTGAAAATTCGAACGGGAAATATTCACAAGTTTCCCTGAAATTTCATATTTGATCAAAGGAAATTTGGCAACTGACGAAGGTTCATACGGCGTTTTTCCTTATCACGGCAGCAATGGCTCGAGGCTTTACTCGCAAACGCGTTTCTGCGTCGCTCAGGCTCGATTGACGTTCTTATTTTGGTCATGTGTACTGTCATCCTAAGGAAGAACGCCGTATGGACATTCGAGACTTGCCAAATTTCCTTCCATAAATCGTTTATCTATGAGGAAAGTTATGATTTTTTTCCCTCGACATTTTCAGGAACTTCAGGTGAAATTGCGAACAAAATTACCTGAAAAATTGGAAGTAAAATATTCATATGTTCACCAGGAAATTCGTGTTTTATCAAAGGAAATTTGGCGTCGCCTGAAGGTTCATACGGCGTTTATCCTTAGCACGGCAATAGTACTTTAGAGTCGTATTCATAGTCCGATGGCCCCACGTATCTCCGTAAGCGACGTCGTAGTGTCGTAGACTTTCTCTGCCGTGCTGAGAAAAAACGCCGTAAGAGCCTACAGACGCTGTCAAATTTCCTTCGATAAAACTCAAATTTTCCAGTGAATTAAGTAAAATTTGTCTTCCAATTTTCCAGATAATTTTGATAATTTTGGAAAAATATTCAAAACTTTCCTCGACGATTAACATTCTATCGAAGGAAATTTGGCAACTCTCGAATGTGCAGACGGCGTTTTTTCTTAGCGCGTGGCAGCACACTGGAAAAAAAACACATTGGATCTAGAGTCCAGACTCTTAAAAACATCGACAAGAAAAAGTACTCTTGATTCAATCAGAATCTAGCTTAAATCAAGACCCAAGCCTCTTAATTTAAGCGGATTTCGTTTTGATTCAAGCAAAAACCCGATTGAATGAAGAGTATTTTTTTTTATATGTTTTCAAGAGTCTGGACTTTAGATCCAATGTGTTTTTTTTCCAGTGTAAGTATTGTCATTCTGTATATTTTCCTCGGAAACCCAGTCAACTTAAGCATGGCCCTGTAATTAACACAGAAAAGTCGGCTACTTTTTCTTACCGTGCACTCTTTCCTACTATGCAGATGGCTACAACTTATTTTTCTCCGTGCTCCTCAGCATTCAGTCATCTCGTGGACAGTATTTTCTTTAAATCCTCGTATGTCAACAAGACTGAGTGTTTACCTTCCACTTTGTCTATCTTGTTCCAGAAGAGGGCGGGACGTGACACGGATTTTGCCGGCCGCGGACGAGATGCGGCTGTTCAAACGTCGCTGCTCGGATCCCAGCCCGCAACTGGTGAGTCTGGCACCTCTCACCGTCGAAGACGACTTCGAGGACCCCAAACTCAAGTCCCGCTCGGGTCACTCCTCGCCAGCAAGGGCTCCAGCAACCCCTCTCACCGGAATTCCACCCCCCGTACCGTCAGCTGGTAAGTTCATCGGTCCTTCAGTACGTTAAGATCTGCAGAGGGTCAGTTACGCAGTCACAGAATCGCGTTTTGATGGTTTATAACAGAGACAAGAGACCCTCCACTAGTATTTTGGCCATTGTGGAAGCTTTTACTTTCGGGACTTCAGCACTCCACTGTTGACTTACCTACATTGTTGATGTTCAACAACGTGTTGGTAGTTTCGTTTCGCAAACAAACCGAAAATGGCAGACGTTTTGGAAACTTGTTTGGCTTATGACGTCATCCGAAGCTCATCATCGACCATGTAGGTAAGTCAACAGCCGAAACTAGGGTGATGACTGTTGCTCCCTAGTAATTGTCCATATGGAATTGTTGAAACCCCGAAAGTAAAAGCTTCCACCTGTCGCTAGGAGGCCAGTGGAGGGTCTCTTGTCTCTGGTTTATAACGACGGTGTAAGTCGGCAATCACACACTGAAAAAAAAATCTCGGTGTATTTACTAAGAAAAGGGTAAAATTACCAAGAATTCAGGGTTCTATTTTATCCCAGTTTTTTCTTGGTAAAATTACCATTTATGGAATTGGTAATTTTACCGAGAAATCTCAGTGGAATTATTGAACTTTCTCGGTAATTTTACTGGACCTTGGTAAACACGCAAATATTTTTTATCGACTGTGGTAGAATTACCGAGATAAAATGGCAAAGTTACCGGGAATTGATTACCAATAAAAGTAGTATTCTTACCTGAAAAAAACAGTAAAAATACCGGTTTTTAGGCAAGTTTACCGCAGTCTGTCTTGGTAAAATTACCAATAATTGGTAAAAAAGTGAGATGGTAAAGGTACCAACGGACCTTGGTAAAAACGCCGAAAATTGTTTTTTCAGTGCGTGCGTGGGACCCGAAGTTTAGGTCATATGGATCTCTGAAGTTTTCGGATTGAGCATCCGAACACTTTAGGTTCAGCTGCTGAGGTTTGGATCACACATCTGAAACTTCAGTTCTCACATCCGAAAAACTTCGGTTCTCACATCTGAAGTACTTCAGATGTAAGAACTGAAGTTTCAGATGTGTGATCCAAACCTCGACAGCTAGACCTAAAGTGTTCAGATGCTCAATCCGAAAACTTCAGAGATCCATATGACCTAAACTTCGGGTCCCACGCACGAGGTTTTTTTTCTCCGTGTGCAGAAGGTCAGTAACGCCAGTCACAGAATCGCGTTTTGATGGTTTATAAGCTTATGAGGCATGAGATGGACCACATTTTGAGATAAGGAACCACGATTTCTGGCTCATTTTAGAAACAACATATATGCCTTTTCGTTCCCTATGCAGATAGGTGCTTTTATGGAAGAGCCAAAGATAGTAGTTCCTTATTGCAAAATGTAATCTAGGTGTCGCCCATCGAAGAACACTGCGCATAACGTCATATTCACCGCGGTAGCATATATCATGATTTCTTCCATTTTTGATTCATTAGGCAGATACGCACATTTCGTCATTTTCCGTGCGAAGAAACGTAACTCCATTCAAAAGGTTGCAACCTAACTCAAACAATTTGATTTTTTACAAGAACTTAGCTGTGTAACTTTTGTCCTAAATTTCTTCGATTTTTGTATGAGATTAGAGGAAAAATCAGTGAGATTTTCGGCAAGAAACACGCAAGATGCCCAATCTTCATAAAAATTCAATATGGCGACATTAAATGTTGTTACGTTCTTTTGTAAGAAGAACGACGATTTGAATTGGTTACTGCATCTAAAAAACGGATGAACCCAAGTTGAAAGAAACCATGGTATACACTACCGTGGAGGATGACCAGTAACAAGTCAGTCAAATTATTGTAAAAAATTATCCAAGGAAAAGTTGAAATCCAGGGATTCTTAAACCATAAATAAAAATTATAATTTGTTAGTTTTTTTTTTTCAGTAAAGACGTCTTGATTTCATCGTTCATTCATCTTTGTTGCAGCACTTTCAACGTGGGGCAAGAAGGTCGGCAAAAAGCTCGACAAAATGAAGAGAGCCGACTCCTCGGAAATCCTCTCATCCGCGGGGCGACGGAAAAATTGGAGCCCGAGCCCAGTTCCTAGCAACATGCCGAACGGCCAGACCTCCAGAGCGAAACGCATCTCACGAGTGGAGTCCCTCCGGAACCTCTTCTCCCGCGGCGGTGCCAACAACCACGCCGTCAAAAAACCCACCAAGCCCTGCGAGAACGAAGAATGGCTCAAAGAGGAATGCCAGAGAGGCATCACGGATCTCTACCAACTGGACAAAGTCCTCATGCCGAACCGCGAGAGACACTCCGGAAAAACCTCCAACTCCCGGCGAAGAGTGCTATCCGAGAGCGTCACAGAAAGTTTCCTCGAGGAGCAGTATCTAGTAGAATACCTGCTCAGCCACAAGAACACTATGGGACTCAGCGACGAGAACCACAACCTGGAAAAAGGCTTGAAGACATTGAGCTACGACGATCTGTTGACAGCTTTCGAGACTTTAAAAGAGAGGGATCGGATCAAAGCGCAGAACAGTCGGCTGTCGGGAACAGCGTTGGATCTGTGGAAGCGGAATAACGATAGCGGGGGCGTCATCCCGAACGGCTCATTTAATTACTTAGACTCGCTAACCCGGGAGGGTGGCAATTACGACAGACCGAAAACCAATCGGTCCGCGAGCGAAGACTGTGATAATAGGTCGCCGAAATTCCCGAAAGTTCAATTTAAATCGAACTGTAAATCAGAGTCGGACGCGGGTCTTTACTCGAGTGTGGAAAGCTCTGTCAATAATCTCGGCAAGATCCTTACGAATATGCTCTATGTCAAGGCGGACGAGAGTGGGTACGAAAGTGATTCGACGAAAAATGGCGCCGATTCGCCACGCAATTCGATGAAATCCACGGCGTCTACCTGTTCCAACGACCCCGCCATCCTATCTAGTCATGCTCCCCGCAAGAACTGCTGTCAACCGGAGCAACTCGTCAAATGTGATGACGCCAAGCTTGTGCTCAACCATGGCTCGGTTGATCCCAAATTTTTGGCGGTGGAGCCGGGGATCAAGTGCAATAAAACGGATGAGGAGAAGCTTTCGCTCTCGAAGATTCATGTGCCGAGATCGCGGTTTCTGTCGGCGCAGGAGGAACGAAGCTCGTGTGGCGGTCGGAAGTCCCGATGCGACTCGAGGTCCAACCCTGAGGATCGGTCGTCCCTCCTAGGCTCAAAATTCGCTCAGATGGATGGTGAGTATGAAAATGAACTCCTTAAAATAATTCCTGTTGAATTCACTATGATGAGTAAGAATAGAAACCTGTAAGTCAAATTACACGAACAGGGTGGTAGAATAGTGCTGCGGGTCCACACTATTCTCCGGGGAAATCAAGGTCAAAAAGCTTAAAAAATGTCATTAGGTTCAGAATACTAATAAATGCGAGTACCAGTCAAAGTGAAAGTAAATCTCCTATAGTAAATAAGAATAAAAACCCTGTAAATCAATGCTGTCTTGCTAAGTAAAAACTTCGTATGAGCAATCGTATGTTGTCAAATGCCTTCTCAGAAAATATTAATTTTTTTGAACCTTGAAATTTTCAGACTTTTTGATCAAATCACGAACGAAATCCTCTGAAAAGTCAAAAGAGAACTATCCATGGGTTTTCGTGAGAATCCATGGTTTGTCAAGGGAAATTTGGCAACACCTGATGGCTCATACGGCGCTCATCCTTAGCACCGCAGATTGTACAAGAGGACTATTTTGGGAGATCAATTTTCGAGGACTGTGTAATTCAAAGATACACTCTTTCCATTTCAAATATTACTAAGCATTTCATCTCTAATTTCTAAAATTAATAATTTATAAATTTAAATTATTTACCAATTGAAGTATCTAAGTTTTCTCATACTTGCGAGATTTTTCAATCCTACAAGTCCAATTTTTTCCCCCACCTTACCAGGGTCGGATTTTCCTACTTGCCGCCCATGGGCCGCCTGTGTTTTGCCGCCCCCTTCTCATTCGTTTTGAAACGTCAATAAAAACCATCAAGTGAACGTGCCAGCTGGGGAGGGGTGCATAAGACTCGTTTACTCGTGTTGAACACATTTTTTGGGAAAGTCCTGTCAACACTACTAGCAAAAGGTCACGGTACTTTGCGCGAAAGTCAAGTTTCGTAAACCTATCTCTAATGGACAAAGCCTTGGATTCATAAGAAATGAACGAAAAAATTATGAAAGAACAAACACAAATTTAGTTTAATGATTTTAAATTCCGCCGCCGCCGCGCCGCGCCGACCGCACCGTGTTTGGCGCAATGCGTGAAGTATTCACGCAGTCTTGTAGGCGCTATGCGTTTCGCGCTGACCGCACTGTGTTTAGCGCAATGCGTAAAGTATTAATGCGCTCTTGTAGGCGCTATCCGTTTCACGCTGACTACAATAACCGCACTGCGTTTGATGCAATGCGTGAAGTATTTGTACAGTCTTGTAGGCGCTAATATGTGTTACATGCCGATTGCCGCGCCGAGGGCTTCTCCTTTTCAGCTCAAATCCTCGTCATCATTTCTCCCTAAGTCGCGCCGATCCAGGCCAAATTGTGTGTTTGGTTTCTCTCTTAACTCGACTAGGTGCTGTCTTTTGAATCACTGAAAGACGACAAAATTAGAAATATACTCTCAGGAAATGAGAGATTTTGTCATCTTTTCTCGTTTGTAATTTTTTTTCTAAATCCGATTTTTCTATACCTACATTTAAAAAAATTGCAAAATTTGCTGCCCCCTACATTTGCCGCTATGGGCTGCGGCCCATGTGGCCACCCCCTTAATCCGGCCCTGCGTAAGATGATCTTACCCATTTATACATTATTTTTCCAGGCCGAAAATCCCATCCAGGATCAATTCCGAGCCCAGACCACCAAACCTTCAGACGCAACTCAATATCCAGCATAGAAGAACGTGGCTTCAGACTCCGTTCCGTCCTCGAGCCAGATAACTCGAAACCGCCCACGAACAACCGAAGAACGATCGTCGACATCGTGGCCAACCGGTCGCCGGTGAGGGACATCGGTGGCGTTTCCTATCTACGGCACTCGACCTTGGAGCTCCCGGTCGAGGGGAGGTACCAGCCGGACAGGGTGGTGTCCAACAAGCAGGTTTTCCAAGACTCTCTAGTATGTAAGAACTGCAAGCCGCTGCAGAAGTCGCTCGAGGGTGCGGCCTGGCCGGCGTGTCAGTCGAGCCTCTACTACCAGTTCCTAAAAAACCGGAGCTCGAAGAAGCCCCCTGCTAATCCGACGACAAGGACGGCGACGAGCTCGAGTGGGGGTAGTGTCAAGCAGAAGGAGTTGAAGAGGATACGGCTCATGAAGGACGAGACCGGTGAGCTGGGGATCTACATCGAGCGCCAGGACCCTTCTAGGTCTGCAGCATCGTCCTTCATGATCTCCTACATCGAGCCCAATGGAGTTGTCGACAGGTTTGTTCCATTTGTATGTATGTCGCAGGCAAATAGTCAAATCAAGCATTTCATCAAACGCCTAGGCAGATAGTCTTTTGATGGTTTACAAAGACTTCACTGAAAAAAAAACTCCGGCCGTGGGAGCCGCAATTACCGGCTATATAGACATTCCGTCCGTTCCGGGCTCAAAGGCCGGAAATTCCGGCTGCTGGAGGCGTAGCTTCGACTGCTCCGAGTTCG